CCTTCCTCTACTTCTACAGCAGAAGCCATTGACATTTTCAAGAAATGCCCACTTGAACAAGCTTCTGGTAGGTGAAAGTCATGCTCTCTAGGCTAATTTATTGGTCATACAAAGCAGCAGTTCCATTTTTAAATTTCAGGTAGGCAGTGATTTGTTATGTCCTTCGCAAGGCAGGGAGAGAGGAGGTATGTTCTTATGTGGAAAGGAGATGTGAGCAGGCTGCGAGGAGATGAGCTGCTCCACCCTCTTCTCCAATATCACAACACTCGAAGGCAAATGAAGAAGGATTTTTCAAGGCTTCAATTCTCTCCAAACAAGCAGAAATGCCATAATTCCAACATTCTTTAGCTATTTCAAATTGAAATAATTTCTCTACAGTCACTTCTCTCCCCGCCCCAGCCCTCACCCCGCCACACAGGGTGGTTTCTGTATTAAGTTAAGCAGAGCAGTTGAAATGCTGTACTCTCCAGCATCTGATGGTGACTGCTGCTTCCACTCTCATGGAGCACAGAATGGATGGCTACTTGACTCTATGATCTAATACTGGAAGCCAAGAGTTATGTATATTCATTCAAGAAATAATTCTGGAGGGCCTACCATGCTCTTGATGAACAAAACAAAGCAAAATGAACAACCATGATCCCTGTCCTCACAGCCTTCAGAGTCAAACAGGGATGTCATGAATCACCCAAAATGGGTCTTCTTTCTCTTTTCCAGTGTTCATCTAACAGATGTTCTCATGAACTCCTTTTTGAAATCTGAAGCCAAAGATGAAACATGCAAGTAGACTAAAAAGTGGGTGATGCTGTAAATAATAATAATGACTTTCATCTATTGTCACCTTTATGCCATCTGGCCCTCCACAAGCCTTATGAAATAACAGGGCAGTTATTATAAGCCCAATTTTACAGAGTAGAAAACTGAGGCTCAGTTGCTCAACATCTTATAGCTAGAATAGCAGAATCAGAACTAGAAGGAAGACCCCCAGAATCTTGATGTTTCCATCCCACTAGGCCAAAACAATGAAGGCAATATTTTTTGGTAAATTGGCATGTGTGAAGAAAAACAAATAATCCATAGAGTTATGAAGCATTATTTTTATGGTTAGGTAAAAAATAATCCACTGAATATTAATAATGTAATTAGAATGCTATCAACAGTCGTTCAATCTATCCAAAAATTTCAATAATACTTCATGAGGACTTGTTACATGCAAGATGCTTAGTCATGAAGGACATAGCGGTGAGTAACAAAACATGGTGCCAGCCCTCTTAGATCTAATCCTGAAGGTGGAAGGTTCTCTGTATCATGCTGTGATATTGTTATACAAAAAGAAACATATATTTTGGTCTTTGTCCAAGGTTCCTGGCTCACAGCTCCTGGAACCCTTGTAATTTCCTAAATGATTAGAGTGATAGGAGCAATAGGAGTATCTTTTGTTAAAATATTTTGTCTTTTGTTCTAGGTTTTTGAAACAGCTCACAGCAGTTACAGAGAAAGGAAGATGAACATGTCTTCTCTTATTCATTGCAAGCCCCTTTCAGTCAGGGATGTTCGGAAAGCCCCTTGACAACCACAAGATGAGGGTTTGATTGCCAAGCAGAGCCAGCCACATGATTAAAGCATTAAAACTTTCAGTCCCCCAACCCTGACCTCTAAGGAAGAGAAAGGAACTGAAGATTGAGTTGATCACCAATGGTCAATCATGTAATTTATCACACCCGAATGATGAATCCTCCAACAAAAAACATAAAAGAACAGAGTTGGATCACTTTCAGGTTGCTGAATACATCCATGGGCCAGGAAGGTGGCACATTTCAACTGCAAGGGGGCAGAAGCTCCTGTACTTAGGGCCCTTCTGAACCTCACCCTATGTAACTCTTTATCTGGCTGTTCATCTATGTCCTTTAGAATCCTCCTCTTCTTCTCCAACTCTGGTATTTAATGATATATGGATTCTGTTGGTTCCCAATAGCTTATTTACTAGACATAAAAAGTGAAAAACAGAAAATCAAGAGTGAAACATATGAGTTGATCCATTTTTAGGATAAAATTATTGGTGAGCTCTTCAAGGCTCCATTTATTAAAAATGATAAAATTGGGTCTAACATTTTTGGGTAACACATAAAAGCTAGAATCAAATTATATAAAAACCACAGATGCTGAGTGCTAATGCCTGGCTTTGAATTCCAGCTGTGCCTCTTATCAGCTGTGGGGCCTTGGCAAGCTATTTAACCTCTTTATGCCTCAGTTTTCTCATCTGTCAAATGTGGATGGAGATATTATGAGGATCAAATATCATATTAAAGGTTTAAAATAATACCTTGCACAAAATAATTCCTAGATAAGTGTTGCCTATAAATACAAATATTAATAGGAAACTGAAAAAAGATTTACCAGACAATATACTCAGAGTTGCAACAAAGTATAAAATAATGTTAAGTTTCCAGTTCCTATGAAAATCACTGCCATCCTTTTCTCCCCTCTGTCAGTTGGAGTCCTGGCTGGGATGTTGGACACATTCATCTTGCCATCTCTAGGTGGAAGCACCCTTGCAGAAGGCAGGATAATTAAAAGCAAACTCAGAAAAAGGAACAGAAAAGCTCCTACCATAACGCTAACTCTAAGTATGTGAAAATGTTTGATCAGCTGGTGTTTCAAGCTTAAGGATGTCCTGAAAAGCTATCAAATAGTTCTATCACTAAAGATAACAAAAGTAAGAATTCCCATAGTCTTTGACTAAGAATAGCTCTGCATTGAAAGATGAGCATTAAAATAATAATAATAATTACCATTAGTCATCTTCGTGAAACAGTCTAAGGATGCTATGATGATTTGCTGCAAAGACTAGAATATACAAAGAATGAAAGAGCTGGCAGCAACTCTAGTGATCATTTTTGCCCAATACTTTAATGATGGAAACTAGAAAACTGAGGCCAAAAGGTTGCTAAGGGAAAACCCAATCTCTCACAAAAAAAAAAAAAAAAAAAAAAAAAAAAATCACAGCTCATCTAGGACAAAAGCCAGCTCTTTGAATTCCCTACTTTGTATACCCAGTGATAAGCTCTCTGTACCATGCAGGCTGTTGGGGAATAATAATAATGATAGTGATAGCGATATAGCAACAACAAAAAACACTTATAACCCACATTTCTATACATTTTACTAAAATGGAAAACCTTTACTGAAATTGTAAATAACTGGAGAACAGGATATTATGCACAGACAAAAAAGGTCCCCTCTTTTACAGTATAGCGCTAGGCTACCCAAGATAGGCACTGCTTCTAGGCTAGCCTTTCCTTCCCAGCTTTCTCCTCCTTCACTCATAAGTCCCATCGCATGTCCATATGCTATACAATGAGTTTCTCCTTCCTTTCCATAAGAACTCACTGTTCTCCGTTCTAGTGCTCCAAAGTCTTACTGGAAATTAGTCATAAGCAATACGAAAGTGCTAAGGATAAATATGCTGTCAGGTACTGCTTCCTCTCTTCATGTCTGCATTTAACAGGGCCTTGCCTTTTCATTACTCAAAAGTAACTCATGTAGTCATTTTGGACAGACTGAGAGATCTTTTAAGCAGAAGCTTTTAAAATTCCAGTACATTGTCATTATCTTCTCTGCTTATGTGAGGCTGGTACTACTTCCTAGCCCAAATTCACACGTCTTTATGATGGTGATAGGGACATGGATGAACCTGGAAACCATCATTCTCAGCAAACTGACACAAGAGCAGAAAATCAAACACCGTATATTCTCATTCATAGGTGGGTGTTGAACAATGAGAACACATGGACACAGGGAGGGGAGCACTACACACTGGGGTCCGTTGGGGGGAAATCGGGGAGGGGCGCGGGGGTGGGGAGGTGGGAAGAAATAGCATGGGGAGAAATGGCAGATACAGGTGAGGGGACGGAAGGCAGCAAACCACACTGCCAAGTGTGTAGCTATGCAACAATCTTGCATGTTCATCACATGTACCCCAAAACCTAAAATGCAATAAAAAAAAAAAGAAAAGAAAATGATTATAGGCTGGGCGCGGTGGCTCAAGCCTGTAATCCCAGCACTTTGGGAGGCTAAGGCGGGTGGATCACGAGGTCAAGAGATCGAGATCATCCTGGTCAATATGGTGAAACCCCGTCTCTACTAAAAATACAAAAAAGTAGCTGGGCATGGCAGCACATGCCTGTAATCCGAGCTACTCAGGAGGCTGAGGCAGGAGAATTGCCTGAACCCAGGAGGTGGAGGTTGCGGTGAGCCGAGATCGCGCCATTGCACTCCAGCCTGGGTAACAAGAGCGAAACTCCATCTCAAAAAGAAAAAAAAAAAAAATGAAAATGATTATAAACAATGGGTAATGTGCATACACAACTGTGAGTTATCAGAATCAGGAGACAGGACAACAAAGAATCTACAAGCACCTTGATTGACAGGGCCAATTGAAGGTGCATTAGAGAACCACAGTAATGGAGCATTTCACCTGCTGTCAGATCTTTAGTGTCCCAGATAATGTTTACAGGTTCAAAGGAAATGTCAATGCTTTATCCCTCAAGAAAGACTTAGAGTGAGCAGGCCAGACCCCTGATGGGTGTGGAATCATTTTATTTTTTCTTTTTGCAACAAAGATTTTCATTAGGTATTGCAGAATAATTCAGTACGCTTAATTTTGAAAAATTGAGTACAGAGCACTTTTTTTTAAGGAAAAAAATTATATTGCCTCCCTTCTCAATTTTTACTTGCATAGCTTTTATTGCAATGATATTTAAATGTATAGAAACATAAAACTTAATTCTTATAGTTTCAGTCCTCCAAAACCATCAAATGCTAACTGTTTTAACCAAATACCAACAAAATTGTAACACCAATTCCAACTCAGTTCAAATGAACATTTACTTAATATTCAGATGATGATGTTTTGCTAAAAGTAACCCACCAAATTCATTATGACTATGATACTGAAAACTTCAACACAGGTGTCTTGGAGTTCAAAATTCTCCCATTACCTGCTGCGCAGTAGGGCCTGTCTCACATTTCTTTATCCACAGCAAAACTAAACATACTGGACCAGTGTGCCATGCAGTCATATCGCCTTCAGTTGCTCATTTCCATAAGCTGACAGCCACTAAAATAGCACTGGATCAACTGGAGTGCAAATAGAAAACACAAATTCAGGCACAAAAACCAAGCAGCAGTATTATTCATTCTAAAGTGAGCCCCACAAATGCCTTTACAAATCCCACTTTGACTAGGAATGGTGAACTGTGGAGACAAAGAGACTGTTGGTGAGTATGGGCTTCCTACTTACTACCAACATAACCATAAGAGAGTAACTCAAGCTCCCTGAGCCTCAGTCTCCTCATCTAAAGAACAGCAGCACAAAAACAGGACATACTTTACAGGTTTGTCAAGAGGATTATATGTCATAACATGTGGGGTCCTTAGCCAGTGCTTAGTGCTTAACAGATCCTCAATAAATACCTGTTCAGTGACTTTGTATCCAAGTTCCACAAAAGAAGAAAGAATGCACTCTCTTAACAAAGCAGAAGCATTTCAAAATAATCTGAGTTTGAGACAGATGAAGTCTTTAATATGTCTGCCTATAAAAAATTCAGACACTGCTCTCGATCATATCTGGTGTTTTGCTGTATCACAGAGGTGTGGTACTAGGTCATATTCTGGAGAAAAGAGATGTATTCACCCACACAGAGTGAAAGTAGACAAACTTACATAGAGCTACTTATTTTTATAGTTACTAATTGTGTGAAGTGAACAAAGGTTTTAAAGGCATTTAAAGGTGTTGATACCTTCAAGTTTTTGTTTCTGAATTATTTAAAATAAATATGATAGAGAGTCAGTTCATTTTACCACTGACTGAGGATCTGCTATATGCAAGCCATAGTGATGAGTGCAGTAGGTGCCATAACAATGAATGAGTAGGCACAGTCTTTACCCTTGGGGTACTTACTGTCTAGAGCAGGCATCCCCAGACTTTTTACACAGGGGGCCAGTTCACTGTCCCTCAGACCGTTGGAGGGCCGCCACATACTGTGCTCCTCTCACTGACCACCAGTGAAAGAGGTGCCCTTTCCTGAAGTGCAGCAGGGGGGCAGATAAATGGCCTCAGGGGGCCTCATGTGGCCCACGGGCCGGGCCGTAGTTTGGGGACGCCTGGTCTAGACGGAGGTGTAGGTAAACAAGTAAGAAACTTCAAGTCTACTGAACTCTAATTTCTCTGAAGATGGGGATTATGTCTTACTGGCTTTTATACCCCAGTGGTCAGCACAACACCTGATTCATAGTAGAGGTAAATGAATTAATGAAACATATGAGTGAATAAGATATATAGGTTAGTCTACGAATGTACCATAAATACAGGTTCAATAAAGAGTGATGGCTCTTTCAAAGGCTCAGGAATTGAAGAAATATAAAAGAGATGCAACTTTTTAAAGGAAGACTTGAATTTCGAGAAACAGAGATGGGAGAATATCCAATTATAATTTTATATAGTTGTAGTATTCACTAAATTGTTTGTCATTAGTAAAAGGATTCTTATTCTGATTATTATTATATCTAACATTTCTATAATTCTTCATATCTGAAAATTGTATGCATTTGCTTCTTAGTTTGTTATTTGTTACAAATACTTTTAATTTATTTATAAACAACTTGGTGGTTCATTATTTGTTAGCATAGGAAACTAAAGAAATAATATCTAGTCTCTTGCAGCTGTTTCTCAATTATTACTATTGGTCTCCTGGGGTTCTTTCATAAGTAGACATAAAAAGTCAATTGGCAACTAGGAAAAGAAATGCATATATTTGGCAGCATTTACATCGCCGTGATTGACAATAGACATAACTGACAGAAACTCTACAATATAAGAATAACTTCATCATGATATTAACATACTAACCCCAGGATACAGAAAGAGGCATAGGAATGTTGTATTTAAGAATGATTAGGATGCTATAATGGCTGCATACAAATATCTCAATAGGAAAAAAATCTAAGAGCAACAAGAGGCATAAAATGTTGGTACTTTGGAAAATAACTAAAAGGACTGGCTGATCAAAAAAAGGAATAATAAAAAGTGAGTAAAAAACACTTGGAGAAAAACTGTTAAAGATAAGCTCTCACCAAACTCAATTATGAACCATTTCTAGATAAAGAACCAAGGTTAGATGCTCATCAAAGGGCCTCAAATGACTAATTAAAGTTTTTTTGTATTAAAAATAACATTAATTTAATATTAAAGGATTTTAAGTTTAATATCCTTTAGCTATGTGTATATATTCTGCCATTTGAATGCCACTCCCCTTTTTTGGAAGCGGAATAATATCTCTCTGTTTTCAAGCCCTAGGATGACTGAGAGAGGTGAGAGAAGAAAAGTGAAAACAGAGGCTAAAAGTAAAGTCCTTAAACAGTCAAAGGAGGATTCTGCCACGATCTGGGATTTGATTTCTGGAAATGGGGCAGGAGGAGTGCTGTTGTAGTCTGTTAGGAAGTCTACCGTGTCAGGCTCCCAGATATGTGGAAATGGGTCATGAACATCCGTTAGATAAAGATCTGTAACATGCACTATCCTTTGGATTTTCTTTCCTGTAAGATATGCCATTGAAAGTTATACTGTCATAAAAATACCTAGGATTGGTTTTCACGAATATCCATTAAGATATTTCTAATTTTACTTAGATAAAATGACCTTCTCATAATATCACACCTTAGCTTGAACTGTAAGACAATAGCCAGGGGTGGTTGTGAGAACATCATAATGGTGGAGCTAAAAGGAAGAGGCTATATGAAGCACCGAAAGCATGGCATATGTTTAATCTTTATCACCCAAGACAAAAGCCTTTTGATAAATTGCCATCTTGGTGTAAGCATGAGATTTTAAAGATTATTTTAAGGAATAAAACTGGAAGCATTATGAGGAGCTGCCACATTTGGGAATTCTACTTTTAGAGACCCTGAAGGTCATTCCTTGAATCATACATAGTCATTCCCTTCAGCGCTTGCCTATGGCCTCCTGGGAGCTGTCTGGTAGGAAGGAGCACAGGTGAAACAGCACACTTAGGTTTCCTCACAGGGACACTATGGACTGCCCCATGTCCCAGGTAAGCTATTAAAAATTACACTATGAAAAATGTAAGTGAGCCCATCTAGAGCCATCCTAAGTTTCTTAATGTCCCTGGTTTCCACCTTAATTATTTGAGCAGTTTTCATACAGCCAGAAGGAAGTGGTTGTTGGCTCAAATGAAGGTAATAGAGATCCAGGAGAGCCACGGGGAGCTGTTCATCAGGTTTACCATTCCATCTCACCTCCACCTGGAACTGACCCTTCCAAATCAGTCTGCATACACATAGGGACTATGATAGCCCTCTTAACCTTCCCAAACAAGAGACACTCAACCTCCCAGTGTGGTTACAAACAGTGTGGGAAGGAAATCTCCTCTCCCCACCCATGATATCTCAGGAGGCTGAAACCAAACAGCATCCAGGGTGCAAGCCAAGAATTTCCACAGTGTTCAAGTGCTGTGGCACTTAGACACAAGGCCAGAAGGTCAGCCTTTGAAAATCTCACCAAGCAAGTATTTCAATTCAGAGCATCACCTAAATGTCACCTTGTCAAATTTTGTTTGTTTACCTTGTCAAATTTTGAAGTGTAATGGGCAGAAGTCACCAAGAGATAGAGAAATAAGAAAATGAAAGCTACTAAGTAAACACATTTTGTGATATGCCAGTTGCTAAATATCTTTCCTGACCAATATTTAACACTTTTTAAAATAAATAGTTGCTTGTTTATCATAAAATATCCAGTAAATATTAATGCTCACAGCAGGAAAAAATTAACATATTTTCAAATTATTACTTAGTTTTCACTTGTCAAAGGTAAGAAATTTTGCTATTGAGCAAATAAAATTTTGTTTGAACTACCATTTATTTATCTGAATTTACAATCTGCTCTTGCAATATTCATGTGCTGATATCTGTAATCAAATAAATAATTTCTTTCTTGACAAAATATTCAACCTCACAAGAGAAATATAAACTGAACATTGATTTGTGTTGGCCAGATACTGGGCTTTTAGCTTTAATAGTTCCAGAAGTCAAAATAAATAATAAATTATATTAACCTAGCCTGACTTTCAGACAAATTTATTGGGGAAAATAATTCAAATTGGCTGTTTATCTCAATAAATTGGTCAATGTAATCAAAATATGATAATTGATATGGTAGCCTCATAGTAAATGCAGAACCTTTTATCTTTGAAAAGGCTAATTTGAATAGTCGTTGAACTAGAAAAATGACAATTTAAGTGACTTTTTAAGAAAATCCCAACTGGTTATCTTAGTTATTTATTCAAAATGGTTTTCTCTGCATTGTGTCTCATTGAGTAGAAGGTGAACAAAGACATTACGTGCCTGTCTAAAGCTTGCCTGAAAGCAGAAGGGGAGCTGTTCCAAAACCAACTAAAGCAACAACAGAACTAATGCAAATCTGCCCATATTTGCTGTCAATATTTTTCAAGGTAGTTTTTCAGGATTTAAAAACTGTTTTTGCCAAACTGAGAAGCCAGAAGAAGCAAACTGAAGCAGTTCTCACGTAAGCAGAGTTTGTTCTATTCTACTTAGTGTAAGTCTGCCTTAGCAGTTCAGCAGGCTGTGATGACAACTGTCAACGGTCAGGCCTCTCACTGAGGCTACTGTATCTATGGGACAGGCCACTGGTAACAGAAACATCAGGAGAGAAGCCATCCACAGAAATCAACTTGCCTACAAACACTCATGTATACTGAGTCTACCAGATCCCCACCCACTCACCATCAACTCCCTAAAAAAAAGCCTAATCTCCTTGAACCAATTGCTAGTCATGAATATTTCCAGGGTAGGGGTTATCTCTGGAAAGCACTAACACCATCCAGTCCTTATTTTCACAAAAAAGACTGCTTACAAGTGGGACAGAGGTGACAGCTGCATTCTCCTGCATTGCTTGTGGGAATGTTCATTAGTATAACCTCCTAAAAAAGCAATTAAAAGCAATGTCAGTATATAGGAAAAACCTTAAGAAGGTCTATCTGAGCCAATAGTTCCACTTCTAATGATCTGTCCTAAGAAAACCATCCAAAACATAGAAAAAATCT